GTGGGCGGTGCGTGTTTTTCGGTGGGCGGCGCGTGTTTTTCGGTGGGCAGCGCGTGTTTTTCGGTGGGCGCTCGTGTTTTTCGGTGGGTGGTGGGATGTTTTCGTGGGTGGGGTATGGTTTTCGTGGGCGCTGGCGGTGTACATGGGCGGTGGGCGTCGTTTTGTGCCCGTCGGGTGTCGTTTTGTGTCCGGGGGCGTTGTTTTCATGGGCGTTGGGTGTTTTCGTGGGTTACGGCGCTCGTTGTTTTGTGACGTGGCGTCGCCGCGTTGTTGTTGAAGGGTGTTGTGGTTGATGTTGGTGGTCGTGGTGGCCATGGGTGATCGAGGAGCGATGTTGGCGGTGGTGGCTATGGGTGACGGTGATGGCGTGGCGTTGGCGGCGGTGACGAGCATGGTGGTGGTGGAAGAAGAGAGTGGCCATGTTTGGTGAGCATGTTCACCAAACAATACATTGTTTGTGATCCATTGAAAATAAATAAACTATAATACAGTAATAAATAAATAAAATAAACAGATTGGACTGGAATCCCATTCCTGCCCACTCCGGGGAACACCATTCCTGCCCATTCCGGGGAAGACCATTCCGGGGAACATTCCGGTGTACATTCCGCAATCCACCGGAATTCCACTGGAATGGAAAACACCGGAATAAACAATTTAGCAGGGCCTTCTGCTAAATTCCATTCCACCGGAATCCACCGGAATTCCACCGGAATGACCGGATTCCTGCAGGAATAGGGGGGGCACTGCTAAGACCTCGTACAGACCATAGATCTCTGGGGTGCAGGGGCAGTGGAGCCATTAAGGGAATTGGCCCTGCCCTATTACCATTTATATCTGGTAGTTAGGGTCGAGGGCTTAGGGCCTGGGCGCTGTCAATATCTGGCAATTTCCGAAGCACTCACGGGTTAAGGGTTTGGGACACTGGGCTTTGTCGACGTTGGATGCATCCCAAGGGCATTAATCACTCTGAGGCAGCTAGCATTGTGCACTCTGGGCACAGGCATGCCACTCTAATTTGCTGGTAGGAGCAGGCTGGGAAGTTGGCAACCCATTTTACTGATGGCGTTGAGTGTTATATCAGGTGGCTGACAGATTTGTGGGCTCACGCCGTGGTTATGACCCACAGCAGGTAGAGCTACGTGACCTTACGAGGTTCTCCAGAACTAATACTTGTCGGGGGGCTTGTGTTCAACACAGGCAGCCGATGTAGCAGTGGCAGCCTGCTCCCCCACTATGTGGGAAAATCCAGGAACATGAACGTTCTGGACAAGAGAGCTACTGTGGCGTGGTCTTGTCGACTCGGAGTTCGTCTTCAACCCCCACTTGATTGAGTTCAACTTTGAATTCTGAAAAATAGAAACCAGCATGGCAGACTACGCCCACACAGCAGCCACCACCAGCTCCATCTACCTCTCCACCATCTTTCAACACGACCTGTACTGCCACTACGTCCCAGGCCTCGTCGGTGAGGGTCTCTTCCACAGCTTCTTATTTGGATTGGCTTGTATGAGGTGTCAGCACGCTTGCGGAAAATCAACAGGTTTGTACCAACGATTTCGGTGGAAACAACGACTTTTCAGATTGATATTCGCACCTCAGTAGGTTTCAGTATGGCATTCAGGCTTCGTCGGTTGTATGTGGTTAGCGACTGTTCTTTCGCTTCAGTCGACTGGCCTAAAGAACAATGCATGAGGCCAAGTTTGCCACCATCTGCCTGAAGAGGCATGAAGTCGGAGATCAATCCATTTAATGTATGTCCTTTACTCGCATCCATGTTTTTTCTGTCTTATTAAAAGGTCGTCACTCAGATAATATTTTGTACCGAACTGGGCATAGCTCGGGGCTCCAGTCAGGACTCCAGTGAGTCCCCATCAACCATTGGTAGAGTCATGGCCTAGACTGCTTACTGTAACTCTAAGCCGTCATGCTGCTCTATCATCGAGTCTGGTGCCTCGCCCAGTCAGAAATTTTGCACCAATAAGCAGATGCTGGAAGTTCGCTGGGTTGCAACACTCCCTCCCTCTAAACACCTGCCTTCGCAGGAGTAGCAGTCAGCGCCAAAACTGCCACTGTCTAAAGCATCTTATGAAGGCACTTAGGTAGCTCATTCCTTCCCCGCCCCCGAGTGTGCGGAGATTTCAACCTTGCGCCCTTCATGGTGAGTCGTTTCTTATGCTTCGCGCCCTTTCTGAAGCTGACTGTTCTTACCGTTAAGGACATCATGGCGGTCACCACCATCTCCACTGGGCGTGACATACCCTTCCCTCACAAAAGTTGGCCATCGGTTTGAATGGCAGGTGTGAAAGTGGTGGGTGCCTGTAAGGTTTTATGGTTTTTACAGAAGCTGCTTGATCTAATTATGAATCGAAAATTGAAGTTGTGCGTCTCGCCGACATCGAGGCCACCAGCAAAGCACTCTTCGGTGTCATCAGTTGCCTAGGACGATATAAATTTTCTCTAGGGTGACAATGTTTCTGGGTGCCAGGTTCAAAATGAACACCCCTTCCTGTATCCCAAGACACAACAGAAATAGTAGGATGCTGCCCAGTGTAGAACCGATAGTATACGCAAATGACAGGTTTTCCCGTGGCTGCAACTTGTTACATGTTAGGGCAAGTTGGTGCTGATACAAATAGTACCTTCACTCCGTACACACTGCTTGTGAGTTATTCTCAAGCTTTCACCTCGTACGAAGCTAATCATTCTACATATAAAGAGAATCGTCCCCCACGTCAACTCTCACACACTCCCTGATAATCAGTCACAACAAATCTTGACCACAGAAGGGTTCTACAATTCGATGCTCATGATCGACTCAGACTGTGGGCTCATCATATGTAAGGGCCTACATGATTCACCAAAATGACGTGTCCAATGACAGGTCTCATCGCTGTCATAGATTACAAGCAGGACATTGACTGGTGGCTACCACTTTTATCTATAACCTAGACTTAAGCCTAGAGAGTCATTTCTATAACTTAGACTTGAGCCTAGAGGCCATATCTATAATGCTTAGGATTTTTTGAAAGGCATTTCAAATGTAGGCCTGGGTATTTCATAGTGAATTTTCCATAGATACCCAGCGCATTTTCTGCGAAATTTCAAATGCAGCCCTGGATATTTCATTGTGATTTTTCAATAGATACCCTTTGTATTTCATTGTGATTTTTCAAATGTATCCCTGGATATTTCATTGCAAAATTTCAATGGATACCTGGCGCATTTCATTGCGATTTTTCAAATGTATCCCTGGGTATTTCATTGCGATTTTTCAAATGTATTCCTGGGTATTTCATTGCGATTTTTCAAATGTATCCCTGGATATTTCATTGCAAAATTTCAATGATACCTGGTGCATTTCATTGCCATTTTTCAACAGATACCCTGGGTATTTCATTGCCATTTTTCAACAGATACCCTGGGTATTTCATTGCCATTTTTCAAATGTATCCCTGGGTATTTCATTGCCATTTTTCAAATGTAGCCCTGGGCATTTCATTGCCATTTTTCAATAGATACCCTGGGCATTTCATTGCCATTTTTCAAATGTATCCCTGGATATTTCATTGCAAAATATCAATGGATACCTGGCGCATTTCATTGCGATTTT